GGAGTTGGGGTTGGGATGGGCTGGCTAGGTGGAAGGGTGCAGGATCAGAGAGGGAAAGTAGGGCGCTGGAGATGACAGATGCAGTCCGAAGGGACCAGAGGAAGAGCGATCTGCTGGTTGCGTGTTGGGTGATGAGGTTGTGGATGGCGGGCGAGTTTGTGTGGGATGACGAGTAGGGGATAGGTGGTAATCACATAGTGAAGTGATTAGAGTTTTTTTGACAAGCAGAGGCCGACATTGATAGCGATGTTTATCCCAGCAGATGACTTCTGGTCACGGTGAAGGGGCAAGATGGTTGTACATAGTTAGTAGAGAGAAATGATGTGTCAAAGCCCAACCGTAGCTAGTACGCATGCTGTGCCCCTGGAATCCGCGCGGTGCACGAGTGTTATTTGCTTTGTTCTAGGCACGCTCGACACAAGCAAGACGAAGCTACTGGGGCCGAGTGTTTTCTGACAGTATACGAGAGCCGGGCCTTTTTGAGCGGACACGGTGTAGGCGCACCATCGCGACCGAGCGCCACAGCCAAGGGGGCGAGCGGCCTACTAGGCACCGCCTCTTGCACCCGTCCCAGTACCCATTGTTCAGAGGGGCATGCGACTTCTGCGACCACGACCGCCAGAATGCCCCTATCTGTACCCTGAGGCGACAACAGTAATCGGATGTATTGAAGTTGTTTCTCTGTAAAATCAAACACTCCAAACCTGGCCATTGAGCCGTTGTCCTCGCCATGCCGACCGTCACCCCCTCCCGGCTCGCCATCGTCGTAATCGCCTTCTCGCTCCTAACTTTCTTCTGGTCATTCGGGCTTCCTGCTCAAAACGCTCAGCCAGAAGTGCCTGTTATAGATCACTATGAACACAAGAATGTCCATACCGACCCGATAATTCCGCCACCCGCCGTCGAGACACCCGCAAATGCTCACAACAAACCGGGCGAAAAGGGTCATGCGGCTGCCCCTTCCCCTACCACGACGGGCGTGGCCGAATATGAAGAAGACGGTGGGAGATGGGAGGATGCGAATAATGGCATTGCTACACCCTCTACGCTTCTCACCCATACAATTGCCGCCCACAAGAGCGCCGCTGCAGACAACTCGGACAATGAACCTACTCCGGCTGCTGTCGCCCCTCCCTCAACACAAGCCGTAGAAGAACACTGTCAGAACCTTGCAATGGCGCAAGATGTCATGGTGGTGCTGAAGACATCCAAGGCTAGTATTGAAAAGCTGAACGCGCACCTCCGTACCTTCATTTCCTGCGTACCTACCTTTGCCATCTTCAGCGACCACGAGGGCGAGTTCGAGGGTCACAAAGTACACGATGCGCTCAAGGCTGTCAGCCACGACATCAAGTTTTCGCACGACGAATTCCACGAATACCGAATCATGCGCGCGGACGCCCAACACAAGCCCGATGCGGCGAAGCTCGATCAATTGGATAAGTGGAAGATGCTGCCAATGGTATACCAGGCGTACCACATGAACCCCCACGCCAGGTTCCTTGTCTTCCTCGAGGAAGAGACGGCCCTGAGCTGGACCAATTTATTGCAATGGATCGCCAGACTGGACTACCGGATACCCTACTACAGCGGAGCCCCTGCTTACATTTCTGGAACGCAATCGGCCCAACGTGGACCAGGCATCCTATTGTCTCAAGGTGCCCTGCGGAGATTTGCAAAATCTTACGACGAGCAATACACTCGCAAGTGGGAGCCGGCCGTTGACAAAGAATGCTGCGGAGACTTGATGTTGTCAAGAGCTATGGCAGACGCACACGTCGAACTGTACTCGTCCTGGCCTCTTCTCCAATCCGAGCATCCCTACAGTCTCGACTACACAAAGAGACACTGGTGCGCACCAGCCGTCTCATGGTACAAAGTCAGCGGCGACCAACTCGCTCGGCAATGGGAAATGGAAAAGGAGTGGACCAGCGCCAAGGGCTGGAAAACACCATATCTGTTCCGCGACGCATACCACGATTATATCGCGCCGCACGTCGAAGCGCGCAAGGAAGGCTGGGATAACATGAGCCAGGACGCCAAGATTGTCGCACCAGAAGGGAGGCAGCAACAAATCAAAGACGAAGCCCAAAAAGCTAAGCAAAACCAAGAGGAAGAAGAGAGAAAGAAGCAGGAAGCACTGAAGGAATCCGAACGTGAACCAGACCGGGAGCCCGACCTACCCGGTGCCGTGAAACCAGAACATCCAGACAAAGACAAAGAAACAGACCCAGAACACCTAATGAACGACCACAAAGACGACATTCTCCAAACCGCCGGCACACATACTACTCACCCGCAAAAACGAGACGACAAGAAGAAAGAAGGCGACAAGAAGGAACCTCCCAACTGGGACAAGCTGGCCGATAAACACCCCAATGCTGCAGATAGCCCCGAGGCGTGCCAGAAGACGTGCGAGCAAATCGAGAATTGTCTGCAATGGCGGTACTCCACTCACGGCGACGGAGAGTGCCATCTCAGCAAGGTGATTCGGCTGGGTGGGTCGACTGGGGATGGGCCGTGGACGAGCGGGTGGGTGACGGATAGGATAGAGAGTTTGAAGAGGGAGTGGGAGTGCAAGAAGGTAGAATGGAAGTTCTATCAGTAGGCTTGGCGGTTATATATTTTAGGGTTTCTTTTAGATGGTGGTTAAGATGGAGACTATGGCTGTGAAAATGATGGAGTTGGTGGTGTTTATTTGGTGGAATTGGGGAATGTGAAGGTGGCTGTTATTACCTTTTATATGATATGGTGGAGAGAGGGAGACAGAGTGGTGGATGCAATGGTGCAAGTGGCCGTATGTATACCCTCTTGTTGCAATTTATTGGATTTTGATCATAGTAACGAGAATGCTGGTATAAAATGATATCCTCTTTCAACAAGAATTGACCATGGATGCATTGGAATCCTGTGCATCACGAAGGCTCATAGCCGCTACGTCAATGTGTCTCATGCTCGCACTCCAAAAACGGGTACCTTGCATCCAACGCGCCAAGCCCAGCACACGTGACTGCGCATCACTCCCGCACCCCACTCCCACGCGCCCGCCCCGTTCCTGACTACCGCCTTGGAGGAAAAAACCAAGTGCCACGTCTTGCTTCTAGCACGTCACCCACCGCTCCCACCATCCGCCCCCTTTTTAATTCCACCAAGTTTCGAATCCAGCCTCGCTGAATTCCCACTTCCCGAGCGGGGAGGGGCGGTGGGCAAAAACGCCAGCCACGCAAGTTTGTCCCCAGCCCCTCTGCGAGCCATGACCGCCCAACCACCCCTCGGGGTATGCAACGCACGCACCCCCCGGGCCCAGCCACGTCTTGTACAAAACTAGCTACCAGACCGCATTTCTGCAGTCGTTTCTTGAACAAAATATACATTTTGTATCTTTGAGCATTCTTATTCTCAACTTCGTCTCCATCCTCCGCTCCTATACATACCGTCTGAGAGAATTGCATTATCGCGCGCGATATAAGAAAACAAAGCAGTGCGCACATCTTTTTACTTTTGATACTACTAGTATCTTCTTCCTTGAGCGCGTTTGGCTAATATGCAGTTAGTTATCCTACGTTTACACCGCCTCTATTTCAAAACCGTCTCCAACTACACCGACGAGATCGAAGTAAAAGAGATTTATAAACATCAAACCTAAGAGATTTAAATCGACACAACCGCCAATATGCAGCGCAACATTGTCATCTTCCTCATCATTCTCATCCTCTTCATTCTTATCGCTGCCATCGCATATGGTATCTACTATCTGCAGACGCGCATGGCGGTTGGTGGTACCGCGTCGTCGGTTTCCGATATGACTGAGAATGTATAAACGTCTCTTCATCCATCAGGATTTCCGACCTTTCAAAAGGAGGTTTCTTTTCCCTTCTCCGCCCAGCGAAACTCCTGTGTACGGGGCTCCTTCCCGTATGCGTTGGGGTAGAGTTGTACGCGCGATGCGACATGGGCCTGGGATGCAGTGCGATTACGGTTTTTTACGAGCAAAACAACAACAACGAAAGATGAGTTTATATGAGGGATGAAAGGGATGTGCAAAAGGGGATGATGTTTTTTGTATACACATTTTGGCATTCTAGCATGGGATTTGGGCGTTTTTTTTTTCTGGGTTTGGGTACAGGTACGCTATATGCGACTGGAGTTTTTTCTTGCCTTTTGGATTTGAATGGAAAGGGAGATAATGAGATTGAGGGTGGGGAAAGGCCTCAGGGGATATACCCGTAACGAAACAATGTTTGTATGGATGTGATGATGAGAGAGTTGAGATGAAATGAATATTTTTGACATGTTAAGGAGAGATTTTGAGTGAGTTAAGATGGGAATAGTGAGGTTTGTGCTTTCCGAACATGTTTCATATAATCAACAATCACGGTCATTTCGGCCTTTGAAATCTGGTCATGGAGCGCGATGTCATCTGTGAATAGATTCATAGTTCCAATCGCTTTCTAGTGTAGGATGAAATCAGAGGGTGTATGAAATACGTTGAGACCGCATTTGGAAAGTCCATTCTCGGTATTGATGGAACTACAAGTGCAGAAAGAGAAAAAAATCCTGAACCCATCAAAAGTGAGATATCCAGAAAGCGCCGTTCCCAGATTCACATACATACAAGAAAAGCTTTTTTTCTTGTCTGCCGCGATGCAAAGAAAATGACATGTGACGACTTGCTCTATACGTCTCGCACCGTCCCTACACTTCCCAAATGGAAGCCAAGTTACATTTTCCAGGATTGTACCTTGTGTGCAGGTTCAGTAAGGGAAAAATAGTCGTCAAGAGGTAGGCCGGAAGAATCGACTCTTTCCACGGGGGTAATCGGAGATACGGTGGGTGATTTAATCTCTTGTTCGAGTTGGGCAACAGCCACAGTTGGAAAATTGGGTTTTGGAAGCATGTCCTCGAGACGCATCTTTGGAGCAAGGTAAAGAGACGGCGCAGTATGGCGGCTCAGCGGGAGCACGCTACTGGGTTGCGTATTCTATTCGTCTTGAAGCGAGTTAGTAGTCTGTCTCCATGGCATCTGTGGTATCATTGTTACCATTTGGAGGTTCGTCACTGGTATGTGTGAAGACAAGGTGGCTTTCGTAGTACTGTAGCATCTGCGGGGTGTCAGTTACAAGTCACGACAAGTGACTGCAGACAAAACAAACCTTTTGAGGACACTTTTGGTAGACGTGCTTGAGGGGATGCTGTGTCTTTTGTTGGTTGTTCCATACAAGGTATACGAACTTGGCCAGGTCGCCCGTCTTGGGATCGCGCATTTCCTCGACTGTATCGACATAGCTGACATCGTGCTCCCATGAACCTGGTGGTGGGCTCCATGCTTTCTCCACCTTGAGTGCCTTTTCTGGTTTCGCACGCTTAGAGCTTGTTGTGGGGGTTTCTGATCCGGCTTTGACACCCGAGACAGACGGCCGTCCCTTGCGCTTCTGACCCTTTGGTTCTGGACGACCGCCGATGCTGGAGAAGTACTCGTTCAAGACGTCAACAGCTCCCTCCCTGCAACTGTCAGCTTCAATGCAGTCGGAGTAGGCGGATACGGCATACATGTTGTCTTCGGCCTCCCATGTCCGGTCTTTGGGGTCATCGTATCCCTCCCATTTGACGTCAAATTGGAGCACACCCTGTCACTGTCAACGCTGCACATCTGGAATAGGTCCTGTTACGCACTTTGTAGAATCGATGACCGTAGATCGCCTCGACCACATATCTGTCGCACTGTCAGCGCAAGTCGATGTGATGACACACTGGCATGCGCGTACTCGTCCTCTCCAATATCACTATCTTGGTCGTCGTTGTCGTCATCGTCATCGATTGGATCTTGTTTGACTAGTGGTTGCTTTCCCTTTGCCTTTGCGGGTACGTCTTCGGCGCCCGAGGACTCGTTATCGCTGAGCGCAGCTGGATACGAATAAGCTGCTGAACTTCACGCGTAGGAGGGTTGTAGAAGAGCAGGCGGGCGAGCGCAACTCACGCGGCATGGTAAACTAGGGTCGCTATAAATGGCGGATGGCCATACAGAGATGCGAATAGCTTCGCAGGGCTCGGAGCAGTTTTGGAGAGAGCGAGCGTATACGGGCAATTGTGGGCAAGGGTTGTGGCAGAAAATAGCCAGGCAATGCGCAAAGAGTTGACCATGGCTACCAGGACCAGAGGCGCGTATGTTCGCGACGGGAGGCCGTGCGCGCCCATGCCAAGCCCTCGCCGGGGAAATTTCAAGACAGACATGCGAGCTGTTTGGACGGACCCCACCACCCCTCACTGCTAAACATCCCTGGGAGTCTTTTGTTGTGTATACCAATACACATTTAATTCTTTCGTAAATTCGGAAAAGGGCTTTTCGAGCCAACAGTTCTTTCACCATGGCCATGCGTAAGTCCTGTAGGCTCCAAAAGCTTCACTCATTTAACACACTTTACCAATGAACGTATGCTAATATGGATGATTACAGAGGTCGATCTTTCCAACGGTATGCCTGTCCATTCACTACCGATTCCCCGTTCCCTCAATCTCACGGACCAAATAACTGATACCATGGATTACAGCGCAGGTGATGAAAGATGAGGCGGGCAGGCCGTTTATCATTGTCCGAGAGTACGTAGACCACCGGCTATACAATTTGGGGGCTTCTAAAAAGAGTTTGGAGCTAACAATCGGACAGCCAAGGCAAGAAGCAGAGACAGCACGGAAACGAAGCTGTCAAGTCCCACATCCTAGCGGCAAAGACGGTCGCCAACATTGTCAAGAGCTCTCTGGTATGTCACAGCTGTTGGAACTGAGCCAGGCCGAACACAAGCTTATGAATTGTAGGGACCGCGAGGACTGGACAAGATCCTCATCTCCCCCGACGGAGACATTACCGTCACCAACGATGGCGCCACGATTCTCTCCCAGATGGAAATCTCCAACCACGTCGCGAAGCTACTAGTTGAACTGTCAAAGTCCCAGGACGACGAAATTGGTGACGGAACAACGGGTGTCGTAGTATTGGCCGGAGCTCTCCTCGAACAAGCCGCCGATTTGATTGACAAGGGCATCCACCCAATTCGGATAGCAGACGGATACGACCAGGCTTGTGAGGTCGCCGTGGCCAAGCTGGACGAAGTCAGCGACGAGATCAACTTCTCGAGGGAAAACACAGAAGAGCTGTTCAAGGTTGCAAAGACCAGTTTGGGCAGCAAGATTGTCTCAAAAGCGCATGACCAGTTCGCCAACATTGCCGTAGACGCTGTGCTATCGGTAGCAGATCTGGAACGAAAAGATGTCGACTTTGAGCTCATCAAGGTCGATGGCAAGGTTGGTGGATCACTGGAAGATACACTACTTGTCAAGGGTGTCATAATAGACAAGGACTTTTCCCACCCCCAGATGCCTTCCGAGGTCAAGGACGCCAAACTCGCCATCTTGACATGCGCATTCGAGCCCCCGAAGCCCAAGACCAAGCACAAGCTCGACATTACCAGCGTGGACGAGTTCAAGAAGCTGCAAAACTATGAATCGAGCAAGTTCACCGAGATGATTGAGCAGATCAAGAATACCGGCGCCAACGTAGTAATATGTCAATGGGGTTTCGACGACGAGGCCAACCACCTTCTTCTCACAAACCAACTGCCTGCTGTACGGTGGGTAGGAGGCCCCGAGATTGAGTTGATTGCCATTGCGACCAACGGCCGCATTGTACCAAGATTTGAAGACCTCAGCGCGGAAAAGCTTGGAAAGGCAGGCATTGTCCGTGAGCTGACATTCGGAACTACAAGAGACAAGATGCTGGTCATCGAGGAATGTGCAAACACAAGAGCCGTCACAGTCTTTGTCCGCGGAAGCAACAAGATGCTTATCGACGAGGCTAAGCGATCACTGCACGATGCTCTTTGCGTCGTTCGCAACCTGGTGCGAGATAACCGCATTGTGTACGGTGGAGGTGCGGCTGAAATAGCATGCTCGCTTGCCGTCGAAGATGCGGCAGTCAAGGTAAGCAACACCCACGCGGTATCGGCATTGAATAGGAGCTAATATCTTCCTTCCAGAGCCCCGGCCTGGAGCAATACGCGATGCGTGCTTTTGCTGACGCCCTAGACTCGGTACCCATGGCGTTGGCTGAGAACTCTGGTCTGAGCCCAATCGAAACCCTTGCCAATATCAAGTCCCGACAGGCCAAGGAGAAGAACTACCGGTTAGGTGTTGACTGCATGCAGACGGGTTCCAATGGTAAGTGCACCCCTTCTCTAGTGGTTGTCATAAACAATGCATCCCTCTCGTTTCAGCGGCACTTGGTTGCATTGGTTCTCACCGCCGTTCGGTCAACCTGCATGACCCCAGCAGTTTGGGGGAATGTGTTCCGCGGTGCATCAACTCAATTGAAGCCACCGTGGGGTGGGATGAAATTACCCCACGCATCCAGTGCTGCGCTGGCATGGTACAATCCTGGGTGGGGGAGATGAGAGTCATCTGAGCCGCCCGTGCAGTGCTGTCACTTCCATTCACAGTACCACGGGCATTGTTGGCAGCCTTATATGGAATGTTTGGCTAACGTGGCGTTCTCTGCAGATATGAAGGAGCATTTTGTCATTGATCCTCTGATCTCGAAGCGACAACAGCTGCTGCTCGCTACACAATTGTGCCGTATGGTACTCAAGGTACGTATTGTAACTTTTGGTGTTTCGTAACATGCCCCGGGTCGCTCCCTTGCCCGTCATACCTTCTTTTTTTCCTTTTCGCGTCAAACTTTCTTTGTTGTCTGTTGTCTGTGCGACGTCGCCATCCCCGGTATCCCTTGCACTACAGCCTTGACTCAATCACGATGCCGGGGAAGCGGGGAAGCGGGGAAGGTACGGTCACGGCCGCACAAATGCCTGCATGCACGCTCGTCTTTTGCTGTTACATGCGACAAACGCGGCATCCATTTGTGTCACCTGTGGTTTTCTTGTCGCTATCTACGGCTACTTGTAACTTGTTTTTTTGCATCACTTTCGTTGGCAATGATGCACAGCACACACGGACTAACACACGGCACAGGTCAACAATGTGATTATTGCCGGAAGCGGAGAGCAGGATTTCTAAACGCCACGCATGTCACTGCCGTATGCAATGTCATGACGGTACGAGACTTAGTGTCCGATTCGAGTATACTAGCATGTAGCGAGATTTGAGACTTGAGGCTAGTTAGAAAGCATCGAGATGTCACTGGTATACCCATAGACTGTTCAAAACGAATAAGAAATATACAAATCATGATGACACATGACTTTGAAATGATCATTGGACTTTGCCTCTATGAGTTGACAGTTGTGATGACAAAAACAATGCTTATTCTTCTTACGTTCCATACTGTACGAGTTGGAGTCTCTGTGCATTAGAATACCCGGATTTGAATTGTCTTGATAACGTCACCTCAAGTGATAAGTGTTTACAATAGTAAAAAGCATTCAAATGTAGATGAATGTACATGCTACATACCTTAATGGCTAAACTGCACTGTACTACTCCGTGGTGTCATCAGCTCGACGCTGCGTATCATGTCGCTTTTCTCCAACTACTCTAGGACAATGGAGGTGTTTTGGAAAAATTTCTCCGGTGCCCTATCTCTAGCTCCAACTTGAATTAAGCGATTCTCACTCGGCTACTGAAATTCGTCCAGTGGTGGTAATATGGGACCAGTATTGATTTATTCTCCCCCGCCGTTTGTTTGTTCCTAGCAGACTTTGCGAGTGTGTGCTGCTAGAAGTTTTAGACGTTGGAGGTCGTCTGTAGATGCTTATTTGTAAGTGATGTGCTATATGGAAGATGTTTGAGTGAATAGAGGCAGTTCAAAGTGGGAAAATGGGTTTCAGGGATGATAGGTTAGGTTGAGGGATTGGGGTGTTGCTATGTGTAAGGAGGAAGGGGTGGGTTGGGTTGGATGAGTAGTGTACTGAAGGAAGAGCAGAGTGGAGTAGGGAAGGAGGTATTAGAATGTGGGTGGGAAAAGATGGTTACATGAGAGATATGAGAGATAGATGGTAGTTTTTTGATGGTAAGCGAGGAAGTCTCACACGTTGTCTGGTATATTTCGAGGTAGTAGTGCTTTGATCACTTCTTTTGGTGTCGAGTGTGTTTACGGCTTTGTTCGAAATGCTGGATAAAAGATAGCTTTTCTTTGCAATTGAGTTTTTGCCCGGCACTTTTTTCCGTGTATTAACGTGAACTACGTGTGCATCCCACAAATCACGAAGTCATGAGGGGAGAATGTTGGCTTGACATTATGGTAATGAGACTGACTGTCTTCCTTCCACGAATCTAAAACATGAACAGGGTGAAGAGAGGAAAGAGATTGTGGTAGATAAATGTGTAGGAGTTTTACACTGAGATGGGTATGGGATATAAAAATGAAAAGGACTAAGTCATGCAGTGTCATTGTTGCTATTGTGAAAGGGTAGAAGATACTATGTACTCAGCGGATACGGTCGACAACCGGGACTAGCATTTCAACGGATACAGCAATGCGTGTATGATTCTGCACATGGATATATAGACGTGAATAGGAAAAAGATGAGTTTACATCACAACGTGCAATGGAGTTGCGTATTTAGTAAGTGCGAGGAGACTGCTTCACCATCTCCACACATGTCTTCACTAGGTCGAAGACAGTACATGTATAAAATGCATGACTAGGCCCAGTCTCAGCTTCTTGTTGCCCATCAGAAAGTACGACTAATTTCGGGACTTGGGCATTTGAGAGAAATTGAGATACAGGGGAAACAAGACGAAGAAGCAAGGACCATCCTATTAGTTGTATGCTCAGTGTAGTGCTTACATAGCACAATCACTCTCTCGTTTCTTTTCAAGTAAAAAACCACAAGTATGAACCGTTCGAAAGCAATTGTGGGTTCACCGGATACTGATCCTGGCGCTTAAAGCAATGCACACTACCCGTCTTCGTGGCCCTGTAACTAAGATAGTAGGCGCCACATCGGACATAAAACCCATCTAGCTAATGTATTCAACAAAACCTTCCTCTCCGTCCCGACCCCATAAGCGAAGAACCAGAACAAAGAAAGAAACAAGGATCCAAAGCTTCTACTTCCACGTAAGCTTCTAGCGTGAACCGAGAAAGAAAGAAAAAAAGCCACACCCATCACCAACCTCAGCCGGTAAGAACCTCGGGAGGTTTCTGTATGGCTCTGGAAGCTTACCATCTACAATCCCCAAAGAACCCTCTACCAAAGTAACAACTGCATTCACCACGAGACATCAAACAAACTTTCCAGCCACCCTTCTTGTCGAGAACCTCCTCCTCTCACGGTAAGAATCTCGGAAAGATTTCCCTCCACCAAACTGGCACTTGCTTCCCTACCAACTTGCACTCGTCCCCCCCCCCAAAACCTCCAACATCACGTTTTCACCACAAGCCATCAAACCTTCCCAAAAAAATCATCATCCCCAGCCACCTCTTCCTTTGTTGAGCAAATCCCCCCCCCCATCCCCTGCACCGAACCCACAATCGGGCATAACCGCATAGCGCCGCCGCCCAGTCTCTCTAGCTGTACGGTACCTCCGACTTTTCCCCACCTTTTAAAAAAAACCCTCCGATAAAACCGTAAAACTAGGCCAGGTGCGGTAGCACACTAGCACTCCATGCATCGCTCACATGTGAAAGACCAAAAAACACACACATACAGTTTCCCATCCGTGCAGTTTCTCTTTGTAGCTATTGTTTCGCCTTTCTATAGACCCACTTTGAAGCACACACGTTTGGAGCTTTACCTACCTATCCTAGGCGGGTAATAAACGATATATTTCCTTTACGACTTATGGGTCTGCGGGTCTTCGAACCGACCTCCGAACCCACACCGCGACCTCCGATATCCCCCCATCACCCGCCAACCCGCCAACCCCCACTTGCTTGCGTGGCAGTCGTCCCGTCCACCCTATTATTACCTCTTCCTTTAACAACGGAGCAAACTAGGGGGTTGGCGCAAAGCGATCCGAGACCCCCCCCC